GATTTTTGCCGATAACCGATAGTTCCAGCAAAAAACTATCGGTGCTGATTAATCGGCAAAACCGATACATCAGTCGACCTCTAGACGTAGTGCTACTATTCTATTATCCTTAAATTTCCTGTTTCACCCTTGACAGTTTTAACAAAACAGCTCATGCAAAACTCCTGCGAGTTCCATGAGCCTTTGTTGCTATTCGCCTGAACTTCACTATCCCTCTCAGTTGCTTACGGTTAGAAGTGATGAAAGTTGTTCACGCTTCTGTTCCTCCTATACACCATTTGAGCTGACGGCACTTCACTGTGTGGCTTTTTTCTGAGAGTGAGATGTAAGTAGAGACGTACCCGAGAACACAGGTCAGTGGTTTGAAAGAACCTCACTTGCTGATTGGTGGTATATTGTTCAGTTAAAAAAAGAACATATTCCCAACTTGACCATGACTCCTATAGGAAATATTTCTTGATGAGTGAAGGACAAGTTTACTGTAGGTTGATTCGTGTCTGGTGAGCTGAACGTATCTTCATTATCTACTCATTTGCGTGTTTGTTCAAGTTGTGCAAGATATTTTTGGGAATAATTATGTTGTTTGTCACTACATTTCCACTGAAGCTGTTTGCCTTCGCAGGAGGAAGAGAAATCAAAGCGTGAAGAACTGGAGAAGATTCTGGTGGAGAACAATCGCAAGATAGCCGACGCTCAAGCTAAACTGGTATGTGTTGTTTAAAGCGAGATTGAACTCTAATCATAATTAATTAGGTGCAGTAGTACTAACGGTGCAACTGAGGTAAAGCTTACTGATTTCTGAAATTCATGCATTATTAAAGTATTCCTGACTTACACTTGAGTTGCAGTTGTCATTAACATTTTTACATTATTAAGTGTTTTGTTTATTGTTATAAACGATTTCTGTTTTAAATAAACATGTTCTTTTGAACATTTTATTCATCCTGGAAAAAAGAAATCACAATTTCCACAAAAAATTATAAATTCATGCAGGTACAACAATGTGCCTGATGTCATTGTTTACATGGATGACAAGCATACGCAGAGCATAATGTGGGCAGCCACACCGTCGTTTTTAAAAGTCTCCATTTTGGTCAGTATACACTGAAAAGCAACCCCGGATTTTTCAAACTAAAACGGGGTCTGCAGCGTTTTCGAAAGTCTCCTCGAAAACGCCGGGGTAATGTAAACGAAAGGGCGTAACCGTAGCAAAAGTTGTGCATTTTAAAATGAAAATGCACTAGTGTAAAGGGCTGTTCACACCAAGGACGATAATGGTAAAGATATAGTTCTAAAAATCGTTCTCAATATTAAAGAATAG